AGGGTTCCACTATACTGTTCCTGCTCCAGGGAAAGTGCAATTTCACAGATTATTTCTACCATGACCGAGAGAGCCACAGACAGACATATTCTCAGCCCTACATCAAGAATGAATGTGTTAATGAGAAAAAGTTTAACTTGGTTTGAAATCCTAGTTCTACAATTAAAGATTTACAATAATAATAATAATAACAACAACAACAACAACAAAACCAGAAAGCTTTATTTTTGGTGAATTACTAATACAGAATCCTCTGTGAAGGGATTCCATACACATCCATACACATTTCGCTACATTAAAAAGTCAAAACTACATTCTTAAAGAGATACAAGGCCGGGTGGAGTGGCTCAGGCATATAATCCCAGCACTTTGGAGGCCAAGGTGGGTGGATCATAAGGGCAGGAGTTCAAGAACAGCCTGGCCAACATAGTGAAACCCTGTCTCTACTAAAAATACAAAAAATCAGCCAGGCGTGGTGGTGGACGCCTGTAATCCCAGCTACTCAGGGGGTTGAGACAGGAGAATCACTCAAACCCAGAAGGCGGAGGTTGTAGTGAGCAGAGATCATGCCACTACTCTCCAGCCTGGGAGATAGTGCGAGACTCTGTCTCCAGACAAAAGAAAAAGGAAAAGAGGGAAGGGAAGGGAAGGGAAGGGGAGGAGAGAAAGGGAGGGAGGGAAAGTGGGAGGGAAGAAAAAAAAGGGAGTGGGGAGAGGGAGAGGGAGGTGGGGGGGAGGGGGAGAGGGAGGGGGAGAGGGAGGGGGAGAGGGAGAGGGAGAGGGAGAGGGAGAGGGAGAGGGAGAGGGAGAAGGAGAGGGAGAGGAAGAAGGGGAGGGAGAGGGAGAGGGGGAGGGAGACGGGGAGGGGGAGGGAGAGGGGGAGGGAGAGGGAGAGGGGGAGGGAGAGGGAGAGGGATAGGGGGAGGGAGAGGGAGAGGGATAGGGGGAGGGAGAGGGAGAGGGGAAGGGAGAAGAAAATATTTATTGTCAAGTCAATTCTGGAAAGTACTCAAGTCAACTGCAACCTAGGACTACATGAGAGTAGGTTTATTATGTGCAGATGAGTGAGACTGGCACATTAAGAGGCTAGTGCTTTACAAACTTTAACAAACTTGAACAACATAAAGATCCCACTAGTCTACTACTAGGAATGTCTAGTGTTCTGTTCAAACAGACATTTATAAATGCCTATTTTTGCCCACAGATATTAATTTTATATAATCTATGTAATGTTAAAATAGTTTTATAAATAAAGAAATGTTCTGTTCATTAACATGTTTCTAGCACCTAGCAAAGTGCCTTAGGATGCAGGTGTTTAATAAATAATTATTAAATGAAAGTAAGCTATGATTGAGACAGAGCAACTGAGAGCTTAAGAACCAGATAAGTATAATCCTGCAAAATACCAGAGGTTTGGAAAACCCTCTGGTGATTACAATAATTCTGTCCACTGCACAATTGTTTTTCAAACTTCTCTAGAAATTGATTTTGGAAAAATGCATTTTTTCCCTTCTACTAGAAAAGCCCAGGAACCTCACAAACAGAATTAAAAAATTCCTCGCCCATTATTAGCAACTCAAAATGGAGTACATAAGAGTGTTCTAAGTCCCACTGTTAAGGTCCCTGTTCAGGAATGGCTAAGGAAAAGTATCACACACCAGCCTGCTCTGAAACTGAGTAACTCCACAGGGTCATATCCTGAGAGGCACTGGAACCAGAGGAGCGAATCTACGAAAGCTTCTCCTTGGGAAGAATAGCTGATAACCTTGAGAAACACATGCCTAAAACACCGCAGTTTTGAGAAAGACAAGGATATGAAGAAAAAAACAAGTCACTATGAAATTTAAAAAGATTAATAAATAAGAGATAACCTGATATATTAAACTACTATTAACATCATCATCAAAATGTATTAGTCTAATAGCTTAACAATCTAATGGTTATATACTAACCTTTTATCTTCTCTTACCAAGAATGCAATCATAAAACTGGTTGATTTTCTAAGAAGTAATTCAATTTTCACTGAACTTAACTTGATGAGTTAGGAGTTAGATACTTAAAAAGTCTCAAAGGCAGTATCAGTTCAAGAAGCAAGTGATTCTCCTAAAGCCTACAACCGGATTGATGAGTCACACTAAATATATATACTTTTGTTCTCTCTCTGCACCTGCTGATGCAAGTCTTGAGACAAGACTGACGTAAAAATAATTCACTATGACAGCTAATTCTAACATGTTCCACATTTTAAAAAAAATTTGCTAATCATCAAAGGAATACCAAAAAAAGGGCAAGGAACATTTTATGCTTATCAAGTTGGTTTTTAAAAAATAAATGATAGTGTCTAAATGCTAGAAAGGCTATTGTAAAACTAGTATGTTCATAAAGTACTGGTACACAGTATAAGTTGGGATACCCCATTAGGAAAGCAATTTGGCAATATAAATCATGACCATATTGTATTTAAGCAATGTATGTATGTATTGTTGACAAGAATTTATCCTAAATGTCGAATAAAGAAAAAATCATTTAGGTAGAAAAATATTCATCACAAAATTTCCAGTGAAGAGATATTGAAAAGTAACCTAAAATGCCCAATGAGAGGTATAAATTTATATTTAAAAATTTTGGTGCTAGAGGCCAGGTGTGGTCGCTCATGCCTGTAATCCCAGCACTTTGGGAAGCCAAGGCGGGTGAGTCACGAGTTAGGAGTTCAAAAGCAGCCTGGCCAACATGGTGAAAACCTTGTCTCTACTAAAAATACAAATTAGCTGGGTGTGGTGGCATGTACCTACAATCCCAGCTGCTCAGGAGACTGAGACAGGAGAATTGCTTGAACCTGGGAGGCAGAGGTTGCAGTGAGCCAAGACTGTGTGCCATTGCGCTCCAGTCTGGGCAACAGAGTTGAGACTCCGTCTCAAAAAAAAAAAAAAATTTTTTTTTGTATTGAAAATGAAGTACAACAGAGAAAAATGCTTGACAAAAGATAAATGTGATACAAGAGTATATCTTCATCGTGATGGCAACCATGTAAAAAATACATATGAATATACAAAACAACAACTGAATACACAATGATGGTAGCTATTTGCAGTTCCTGACTACTCGCCAAATTTTGGGAAAAGATACATTACCCTAAAATTAAAAGCCATTATTTTTAAAAAATAAAATATTTTCAGCTGGGCAAGTGCCTGTAGTCCCAGCTACTCAGGAGGCTGAGGCAGGAAGTTTACTCGAGCCTAGGAATTCTAGGATGCAGTGAGCCATGACTGTGCCTGTGAATAGACACTGCATTCCAACCTGGACAACACAGCAAGATTCCGTTTCTAAAAATGTGTGTAAAACAAAAAACAAAAATATTTAAAAAAAGAAAAAAAAAATGTGTGTACATATTTTTCTAAAACTAGTCTGTGTATCTACCCTTTTGAGCAGAAAACTTTGAAGTTAAAACTTGATTATAGGCCTACCTCTGCATTTAAAAAATAAGTAAATAAATAACAGCATCCCAAGTCTCACCTTCTTCTCACTAAAAACCTTACAAATCTTCAAGCTAGACAAATTTGGAAAGTAAAGCACATTATGGACCTGTCCTAGTGAGACAGATTGTACATTATCATATTTTAGGTTTTGAGAAGATCTACAATAAACTTGTTTAATTTTGGCTAGCCCAGCATCTGCTAGATGTACTTGATCACAAAACCTTCTTTGCTCAAAAGACCTGCAAGCTTCTCACTACAGTTTGGGAAATGCTGTTTGGGTCGAAGATGCTCAAAGAGGTCAACAGAGGGAAGTCATCTTAATGACCAGAGAGGTGTTTCCAGATGCTATGCTTTCCAGTTGGGAGTCACTAATGACAGCATGTCTTATACCTAAGGCGTGTATATTACAGTAGAAAAATGGCTTGAGGGGCTGGGCATGGTGGCTCATGCCTGTAATCCCAGAACTTTGGGAGGCTGAGGCAGGCAGATCCCCTGAGGTCAGGAGTCCGAGACAAGCTTGGCCAATATGGTGAAACCCATCTCTGCTAAAAATACAAAAATTAGCCAGGTGTGGTGGTGTACGCCTGTAGTCCCAGCTACTTAGGAGGCCGAGACAGGAAAATCGCTTGAACCTGGGAGGTGGACATTGCAGTAAGCCGAGATTGGGCCACAGTACTCCAGCCAGGAGAACAGAGCTAGACTCCATCTCAAAAAGGCAAAAGAGGCTGGGCGCGGTGGCTCATGCCTGTAATCTCAGCACTTTGGGAGGCCGAGGCAGGCGAATCACAAGGTCAAGAAATCGAGACCATGCTGGCCAACATGGTGAAACCCTGTCTCTACTAAAAATACAAAAATTAGCCGGGCGTGGTGGTGCACGCCTGTAGTCCCAGCTACTTGAGAGGCTGAGGCAGGAGAATCGATTGAACTCAGGAGGTGGAGGTTGCAGTGAGCCGTGATCACGCCAATGCACTCGAGCTTGGCAACAGAGCGAGACTCTGACTCACCAAAAAAAAAAAAGAAGAAAAAAAAAAAATTAAAAAAAAAAAAAACAAAGAAAAATGGCTTGAGAAATACTGACGTATGCAGCTACTTATAAACAACTAATCCAGCAGAGGGGACCAAAAAATCCCACAAAATAAACCATGCATGGTACAGAATTGGGAGGTTTTCTGGCTCTTATAAATGGGATTCTGATCAAGTCCAAAGATGATAGCAGTTTCTAGAATGGAATGGCCATGTCTTCTTTTGTAATTATGTAGTGGCAACCAAAGAAATCTGTATAACCCATATAATAACTAGTCAGTTTCCCTTTTAAATATAAATGCAGTATTGCTCGTGACATGGAAAAAAAGAAAGCATAAATCTTTTTGAAGTCCGTTTTTTTTTTTTTTTTTTTTTTTTAAAGAGTAGTATGATCATATGGTAGGTAGGGTGTCTCCACAAGGCAAATACTCAGTATCTACTTCTCAAAGCAAACACCTCTATCCTGTTCTACATGGTCCTTCAGCATTATGAGACTGTTACCTCTGGTTGAAGTGTAGCTTTCATGCAGGCTGGGCAAAGAGGCCCAGTACGGGAGAATTGAAGGGGAAGGTGCCGAGTTCGATTACGACAGGTTGGCTCCTCACATATCAACCAGCCCTAGAGAGAAAGAAGGGAAATCTTCAGACTTATCATAACGATCCACAAATACAAATAATAAACCTTTTTTTGGTTATCAAGATAGACTCATTTTATTTAATCTTTTCTCAGAAATTCTGACATAGCTCTAGTTATCTCTCTCTCCTGACATGTTAATTAGATCTATGCCCCAAACTTAGAAGTTAGGAAACCCATCAAGTTTCAAAAACAAAAACAAAAACACACACGAGTTATTTCTTTTTTTTTTTTTAAAAGAAACACCCTTCCCCACTCAAATATATCAAAACCTCCCAACAAAAGCTTCTACTACAGGCAGAATGTAAACCAGTGTGTTTTAGTTCCTTAGTAAAGGCAACTACCAAAGTAAAGAATGCACCACATCGATGTATAACCTTCCCAATAACGGAGTGACTTCTGGCTATTTAATTGCTGTGCTGCTTCCTTCTCTGTAAAATGGATACCACAGTGCTTACCATATAGGGTTGTTGCAATGATGCAACACATTTAGAGCATCTAAAACTATATTTGGCATAAAAGAAACATTTAATAAATAAAATCAATTATTTCATGTAAACAAAAATAGATTCTCCTATATGTACTTTCTGGAGACATAAAACTAGCTGCAGTGTTTTCAAGGAAAACTTCAACTGACCACTATTTTCCAGAGGTTTGAAATACTACAGCTATTGCTCACTTCTCTGTCTTTCAGAAACCTCTTCTCACCTTTCTTCTTCAGTTACTCTCCCTTGCTGTTCTCCTTTGAATTTTCTCATAGTGACGTGATAAGACTATGCCTATGACCTTAAATCAGCATTGTGTTTCTTAGAAAATGTTATCTGTTAAACAAAGGAGACAAGACTTCACAAATGGGGTCAAACAAAGCTCAGCTGTTCACACTAAGGCACCAAGGTGCTTTGATGCTACATGTATTGCCACAGAGGCATGAAGCAAATGTTAGGGTGAGGTGCTGGGGTATAAAGGTGAACAAGGTATGCTGCTGCCTTGTCCCATGGTGTTCTCACCTGGGGAATCCCCAGTAGGAACCTGACTATCTGTAGATTCTGGAACATTTAGAGACACGGAAACTTCTGAACTGATCTTGAAGAATGAGTAGAAGTTTGGTAGGTAGAGAAGGCAGAAAAGACAACTTATGCAGAAAGAACAACATATGTCAAAGAATGAAGGCCAGAAAGAGCTATGCTGTGATATCATTAATAAAGGAATCAGTAACATGCATAACTCCATTCCCCGTTTCTAGACCAAACATCTTGGTCTTTTCCCCTTAGACAAGAGCAGTATATACATAAGTGTTGCTTCATTAAGTCAGGTACTTTAGTTTGCCACTAATGTTTCCACGTGGTGCTAAGCCAAAGCTGAGGGATGCCCTCACTTGCTGCTGTGTTGCTTGACCTCATTCCTCAGAATAGGCTTTTCTTGGAAGTAGCTATAACAAAACTCAGGGAAAAGCACCAAGAATCAGTTCTTCTAGCTCCATTTAACACTATCACAAAAAGGGAAAGTATATTACAGAGCTTTATGACTAAAAAAAAATTATGCTACCTTTAAAGAATATAAAACTCATCCAGTCAATACACCCACAGTAAGCATTATTCCTACCTTCATTCAAGGCTAAACTATTTTAAAATTTAATGTAAGTTTCTCAGGTAGAGGGAGGGTCTCAACGAGTTCTTAATGAAACTTGTAATAAACGCCCAGAATTATATTAAATATTGTGAAGAATAGGCAAAAGGGCCCCAGGTACACTTTCAGGAAATTACAATATAAATAGGACAGCAAGGTCCACACACATAAAGACTATAGAAGCAATTCAGTATGGCTTGGCTTTGAGAACCAAGTTGTGTGGTACCAACTATAAATGCTAACAATACAGAGAAGGGATAGATTAGTGTCTGAGATAAACTACTACGACCACAGCAAAAGATTAGGAACAAGAAAAAAGATTCAGTGGTTCTGAGTCACAGGCAGCTGTTTGTTTTAATTTTGAGGATGTATTACAACATCTTCTTGATTTAAAGAGACATTTATATTCACATTTTAATATTTCTGAAACTCAGATGCATTTATAACGGACATGTACAGCTTAATAATGCACTTTAGTTCCTTCAAAAAAGCTGTTAAGTCAAGAGTGCAGCTCGCAATCAGCTCCTTAGAATTAAAGAAACAAGATACTGGCTGGGTGTGGTGGCTCATGCTTAGAATCTCAGCACTTTGGGAGGCCGAGGCGGGCAAATACAAGGTCAGGAGATCGAGACCATCCTGGCTAACACGGTGAAACCCCATCTCTACTAAAAATACAAAACATTAGCCAGGCATGGTTGCGTTTGCCTGTAGTCCCAGCTACTCAGGAGGCTGAGGCAGAAGAATCACTTGAACCCAGGAGGCAGAGGTTGCAGTGAGCCGAGATCGTGCCATTGCACTCCAGCTTGGGCAACAGAATGAGACTCTGTCTCAAAAAAAAAAAAAAAAAAAAAAGGAAACAAGATACTTAGGTTTAGTCTATTCTGGGCATGGGGGATACAGTGGGGAATAGTGGAGCTGACAGCAGGAACAGGTATTACATTTTAAATGTAGCCTATAAACACTAAAAGTAAGACTAGCTGTTTCTTGAAGTACCCATTCAGGTATATTAATAAAAGAAACAAACTGTACAGGACTGGACCACTCTTTTATTATTCATTTGGGTTTTTTACTTTATATTTAATATCTGAGGCTTTATATGCTTTGGAACATGTAGTTAGTTAACACTGCCAGTCATAGCTGCAATTCATCCAATTCTAAACAAAACTAAAAAAATTAAGCAGACAGGTAACAACTACCACGTTTTGAGACAAGAAATTACTCAGTTCCAAAATATAACCTGGATATTAAAATTATTCTTAAATTTTAAAAATACAATGTTCAAAAACCATAGAGTTCTTTTCAGATGTTTTTTAAACTTGATTCTGTCAATTTACAACTTCACAACTCACTAGGGGAGCTGCCAACCAGGGAGATGCTAAGTTATCATCTCACCTGTTTTTAAAGCAAACACCTAACTCTAGCTCTGACAGAAGTACTAACTAAACGTCCTTTCAAATCATATAGAAAACAGATAATATAATTTGTCTAGACTTCCTACCAGTTATAATTAACATTAAAGAGGTCTTTTTTCCTTTGTCACCTCTCTATTCAGTGCTTATTTGGGTTTGTTTGTACTTACTATCTGTTAATCTCCCTTTACAAATGACAACAATAACTAGTGCTATTATGCATGGAAATTAAACATGCTGATAACTGTGTGAAGGGAACTGGGGCTGAAAAAAATATTAGAAGCCTGTAACTCTTTATGCTTCTTGTTTTATTTTGATAATTAAGCTTTTGGTCATGGTGTATTTTAAACAAAACTCTTCTATGTAGGAAATAGGCCTTAATCATATTAAATATATGCTTTGCTTCAATTCAATTTTGTAAAGTACATTTGGTTTAACCCTTTGTTCCCCCAATGCAAACCAGCTAGCTAAATCTAACCTTCAAGGAACATTTGTGCTACTAAAAACTAAATATAGGTTGGGCATGGTGACTCATGCCTGTAATCCCAGCACTTTGGGCGGCCGAGGCAGGTGGATTGCTTGAGTTCAGGAGTTCAAGACCAGCGGCGGCAGCATGACAAAACCCTGTCTCTACCAAAAATACAAAAATTAGCTGGGAGTGGTGGTATGTGCCTACAGTCACAGCTACTCAGGAGGCTGAGGTAGGAAGATGGCTGGAGCCCAGTTAGGTGAGGCTGCAGTGAGCTGTGACTACGCCACAGCACTCCAGCCAGGGTGACAGAGCAAGATCCTGTCTCAAACAAATTTTTTTTTAATAAATATAATATACCAGGTATTTGAAAATATTCCATGATGATGCAAATCTTATAAGATCTCATACTGAATTTTGTCTCTTAAGGGTGGTAAAAACAAAGCAAATGAAAATACTAATATAAGTTCACTTTGATTTAACACTCACAAAGACAAAACTTACTTTCAATTCTCATTTTCAGAAATAACATATAGCCTGCACAGCCCAGGGCTATACTGACAAGTCAATGGAAGAGGACATTTTAAAATAAAAGTGTAGTTTCTTGGAAGCCCAACTTGTAAAAAGGTTTGGATTTTAATAAAAACCTCTAAATCACTTTAAGGATGTCTGCTATCCAAATACGTGATTTTATTATGTAATGCCACATGCAAATTATAATAACCAATAGAAATAAGGTCAATAAATTTTCAGTTGCCTGGCTTAACCACATTTGTAAACAGAAAGTTCAAAAGAGGTAAAGTCAGCCTGTCCAATAGCAAAACAAACCTTTACCAAAATATGCCAAGCTCTATCACTTGTTGCTTTAATCTCAACATCACTAATTCCTTAAAATCATTGTGTATGAAATTGTGTCAAATGCTGATTGGTTCTGATTGCTAAATTATATTTCTGAGGCCTCAACTAAAATGGCTTCTGTCTGCACATGTTAAAAAGGAATCAATTTCCACTTGTAACTGAGACGTTCCTAGTAGTTGCACCTTAAACACAAACTGTTATTCGTTTGTGTACATTTGTATTTTTAGAAGGCTATACACACAGAAATCATCTAGATCTGAAATTGTGGAGCATGAGGCCCTCAAAAATCTTTTGAAGAAACTATCAACAGAATAAACAGACAACTCACAGAATGGGAGAAAATATTTGCAAACTATGCATCTGACAAAGGTCTAATATCCAGAATCTATAAAGAACTTAAACAACTCAACAAGTGAAAACCAAATAACCCCATTAAAAATTAGGCAAAGGACATGAACAGATACTTCTTAAAAGACATATAAGCAGCCAACAAGCGTATGAAGAAATGCTCAATATCACTAATCATCAGAGAGATGCAAATCAAAACCACAATAGGATACCATCTCACACTAGTCAGAATGGCTATTATTAAAAAGACAAAAAATAACAGATGCTGGCAAGGC